AAATTAATTTGAAAAATTACCTTGACGTTTCGATAGCTATTTTCTGCTATCGTTATCAAAAGAACCTAAAAAAGAGTATGTTAATAAATTGTGTAGCAATAGTAGGATAATACAGAATATGAAAATTCGCTCATGAGAGCTAAATGAGATTAAGCCAAAGTCACATAACTGACAATTTACACAGACGAATTTTCATATATTGTATTATCCTACTATTGTTCCACAATTTATTAACATACTCTTTTTTAGGTTCTTTTGATAACGATAGCAGAAAATAACTATCGAACCGTCAAGGTAATTTTTCAAATTAATTTCTCTACTAATTGGAATTTTCTCTTACAGCTTGAGCCTAAGTGTGTCGCAGGATACCCTCTAGGTGATAGTTGTTGATTACTTTTTGATAAATAATTCGTTCTTATTGCGAAATAGGAGCACTAGATATCAATCTGTAACAAAAGACGTGAGGAAATTCTGTCTTTTTGGAAGACAAAAATTTTTGAGGCAAAATACCCAAAAAGAAGTTTGTAAAAAAATGAATCCGCCTCAACAATATAAAACTTATCTAATTAAATCTTCTTAGACACTAGTTCAACAAAATCACTAGAAGAGCAATTTTGAGAGCTTCATGTTTTCGCAAAAAACCTTAATTGGGGATAATTGCCTGGGAACACTGCGGGAAATTAAGGATTTGAAATAAACCAAAATAAACTTTTCAAATCAACCGGGTAATTTATTCGCTATAATATTACACAGCCTAAAACAATTGATATTCAGTACAGGCTGAAAGAGATTTCAGTTAAGCAAACAAAAATACTGTCTCGTAAAAAAAACTTACAAAATAGGACTATAAAAATAATGCAGAACACATTAGAACACATGTTCGATGGACAACAAACGAAAATCGATTTAATCTACTTCTTCCATGCGGGACGCATCTTCGGCATCGCCACCTTCAACGGGAGCATCGGCGACTGGAATATCTTCAGTCAACATCACTTCGTCTTCATCAATGCCCAAACCAAGCTTGATCATTCTGTAGATGCGAGAAGCGTGAACTTGGGGTTCCTCAAGAGTGAAGCCGGAGCTCAATAATGCGGTTTCGAATAACAAAATAACTAAATCTTTGACGGCTTTGTCGTTCTTGTCTGCATCAGCTTTTTGCCTCAGGTTGTCGATGATTGGATGGTCGGAGTTGATTTCCAAGTGCTTCTTCGCCGTCATGTAACCCATGGTTGACGTGTCACGAAGAGCTTGGGCCTTCATGATTCTTTCCATATTGGCAGTCCAGCCGTATTGAGATGTGACGATGCAGCAGGGAGACTCAACCAGACGGTTGGAAACCACGACTTTCTCAACCTTACTGTCCAAAATGCTCTTCATCACTTTGCACAGGCCCTCGAACTTGGCTTTGTCTTCCTCGCGCTTCTTCTTTTCTTCTTCATCTTCGGGGAATTCCAAACCTTCTTTGGTTACAGATACTAGTTGTTTACCATCATATTCTTTTAATTGTTGGACAACGTATTCATCGATTGGCTCAGTCATGTAAACCACTTCAAATCCACGCTTCTTAACAAGTTCGACAAAGGCGGAGTTGGCGACCTGGTCTTTGCTCTCTCCGGTGATGTAGTAGATGCTCTTTTGGTTTTCCTTCATGCGGCTAACATATTCTTTCAATGCACAGGCTTCGTCTCCACTGGCAGAAGTGGTAAAGCGGAGTAAATCGGCAATTTTGGTTCTGTTCTGAGAATCTTCATGGATTCCCAATTTTAGGTTCTTTGAGAACTGTTCGTAGAATTTCTTGTAGCCATCTTTGTCTTCAGACAATTCTTCGAAAAGTTCCAAGCATTTCTTCACTAAATTCTTACGGATAACTTTCAAGATTTTGTTCTGCTGCAACATCTCCCGAGAAATATTCAGCGGCAAATCCTCAGAGTCGACCACACCTTTAATGAAGTTCAAGTATTCGGGGATAATTTCTTCACAATTGTCCATGATGAAAACTCGCCTGACGTACAGCTTGATGTTGTTCTTGCGCTTCTTGTTTTCGAAGAGGTCAAATGGCACACGTCTTGGTACGAACAGAAGTGCTCTGAATTCGAGTTGACCTTCAACACTGAAGTGTTTTACAGCTAGATGGTCCTCCCAGTCGTTGGTAAGCGACTTGTAGAATTCACCATATTCTTCCTGGCTGATATCATCTGGGTTTCTGGTCCAAATGGGTTTGGTCTTGTTCAATTCCTCATCTTCAGTGTATTTTTCTTTAATGGTCTTCTTCTTCTTCTTTTTCTCATCTTTCTTGTCCTCGTCTTCATCCTCGCCGACATCTTCAATCTTTGGTTTATCTTTGTCTTCTTCCTCTTCGGCCTCATCATCGCTCAACTCCTTTTCGCGTTCCTTTTCGACGAGCAGTTTGATTGGGTAGCCAATGAATTGGGAGTGCTTCTTCACAATCTCTTTGACCTTGTTTTCCTCCAAAAATTCGGTTTGATCTTCCTTAATGTGCAACACAATTTTGGTTCCACGTCCCAAAGGCTCACCAGAGTCGGAACGGATTGTGAAGCTTCCACCAGCAGAAGACTCCCAGATGTATTGCTCGTCATCATTATGCTTGGATACTACGGTAACTTTATCAGCAACCAAGTAAGCGGAGTAGAAACCCACGCCGAACTGCCCAATCATGCTGATATCAGCTCCAGCTTGCAGAGCTTCCATGAAAGCCTTAGTTCCTGACTTGGCAATGGTACCCAGGTTGTTCACCAAATCGGCCTTAGTCATACCAATACCAGTATCAATAAGAGTCAAGGTGCCTTCACTCTTATTGGGAATAATTTTGATGTACAGTTCTCTGCCAGACTCCAGCTTGGATGGGTTGGTGAGAGATTCATACCGGATCTTGTCCAAGGCATCAGAAGAGTTGGAGATCAATTCTCGAAGGAAGATTTCTTTGTTCGAGTAGAAGGTGTTGATGATCAAGCTCATCAACTGAGCGATCTCAGCCTGGAAGGCGAAAGTCTCAACTTCTTGTTCTTCAGGCATCTGGAAGAGAACAGTTTTTTTAGTATATGGAAATGTCAATATGCAAATATTTTGAAGTGCTTTTTTTAACACTGTAGTGATTGTCAATGATTGACCAAATGAAAGTGTGTTCATAAATTACACGTTGGGCAACTGCAGGTAGACATGTGCAACAAAGAAACACATAATGTTGACAGACTAGGCAATAAAGGGGTGCACCCTCTGTGTGCAATCCATGGGAAGCTAATTTGCCCCGTATTTAATCAAAACTCGACCGTTTCGACTCGACAATGGACAACAAAGGTCTTCCTGAAGGGAAGCGAAAAACCCTTTCGTGACACCGTCCGTCGTATTTGCTTTGGGTTTCCATGAAATAAATCCCGGGACAAAAAAGTGTACATTAAAATATTAAATTATGATGTAATCAACAGATTAAAATTGATATTACAGGAAAACCTATGAACAACTTTTTGAAAAAAAATTGAATGGCTCTAAATTTTGGAATTTGTCATAGACCGATTTGTATGACCGTATAATAATAGCAAAGCATTTATTGGATATTTCGCCTCCAAAATGTGTCTTTAAAAAAAGAGAGAACATTTCCTCACGTCTTTTATTACAGATTGATAAACCGTGTTTATCACTGTGATAAACTGAAAAAATATTATATTAAAGTTTATTTTGTTTGATGAAAAGTGCCAAACAAATTAGGTCATTTGCAAAGAACAGCTTCTGTAGATTAAGGTCCCAACCAATGGTAGCGATAAAACCACAATTTTTAATCAAAATTTCAAAAATGAAAAATTCAATTGACAATTGACCAGGAGTTGGGGAACATTTCTTGACGAAAAGCTTATCAAGGATTAATGGGCGATTTATACAAAATTTAATGTAAGCCTGATAAAAGTTGTGCCGTGCATTTGAACGCCTGATGTTCAGTGCACCGAAATGCTCAGTACAATTTTCCTTAGTCGAAATTGAAATGCAAAATTGTTTTAAACGTTTTAATTCCAAATCAAATTCACTCCTGGGTTTCAGTCATTTATTGTCTATTTATTAATCAAAATACGTTTCGGTGTACTTTTCCACCATCATCAGTTTTTATGTGTAGCGTTGTTGCTGCTTTAAGCCTTGGCATGCATTTTCTTGCTCGGCAAAAATTATAATAGACAATAAATTAATTAATAGACAATAAAAATTAATAAATAGACAATAAATGACGGAAACCCAGGAATGAATTTGATTTGGAATTGAAACACTAGTCAGGAAAGTATATACAATAAACGTTTTAATGTCGATGAATCGGTTCGAAGGTCTCGGTTTTTTCTAGAACAAATCGTTGGTTACGAGAATACATTGGGGCGTAACATGGAAGTTCCAGAAGGAGGAAAAATTGACCGAAAACAAAAATCAAACCGACATGCGAAGCCAAATCAATATCTCAAGCATGCATAAAGGAATAATTTGAATAAATTGGTTGATTCATTCAACCTGATTCAATTCTATGGGGCGTTGACAGGAATGAAACTATTTGCAAAACTGAAAGATTATAATGCTAAATTTAGACGAGCAAAGTCCAGAAAAACTTCATTAAACATCCTTAAAACACAAAGCTTCAGTTTCCATTAGGCAATTTGAGGAAACTTCGAACAATGACAATGAGAGAAACTTTTGGAACGTCAGATTAATAAATGTGAAACCCCCACTTTTAAATGAAATAAACTCCCAAAAATACATACCTTTATAAATATCTGCACCGATTATACAAGAAAACACTATTTCACAGAGAAAATGCTTGAATAATTCGCTGCGCTGCAAGACGTTTGATTTTGATCTGACGCGACGCACAGTTTGTCGTTTACTTTTATAGCCGCCTGCGCTCGCGAATTCCCTGGAATCCAATGGAAGCTTTCAGAAGCATTTCCACGGTCAATATTCGACAAAGACGGCGCTAAACTTCCGGAACTTTCCGCGGACTTTTCAAAAACATTGCAATTATTTGGATATTTTGGGCAACATTTTTCTGAAAATTCATGCGTCTATTTATGCAAGTGCTATTTTTGGGTGGACCTGGCTGTTTGCATAGAGAAATAACGCGGATTTAACCATATTTAATAGAAAATTATTGACTTAATTAGTGAATGATGCAGTTTGTACACGTTTTTTTTAAATTTTATAATAAATAGAACGTTTTCAGTTTCCGATTTAAATTAGGGCAGTAATGAGGTCATTATTGGCTTGACCCATGAATTTAGGTCATTGATGCCTTCATTATTTAAAGCAAATGGCTTATTTATTCAAGAAAATGCCAGTAACTTGATTATCGCCTATGCCTCAGCTATAATTTCGTTTGTATTACGAGCTCTAGGGCTCATTACTAAAAATTATTCATTGATAAGGCCACTATTCATAAAGGCACACTGTTATATGCACTTTTTCATCAGTATTATGAGGGATAATTGCCACTAAACAGCAAATGCCGATTAAAAGAATAGACAAGTAGCAAAACTGGTTCACGTTTTTTCAGTCCTGTTGTCTCAAATTGCAGAATGCATTTTAGCTGTGGCTTAAAAGGAATAATTTTTGGGCCTAAAAACTTCAAAACTTTTTTGGATGATTGTATGACTGGCATTTTCCACAAATAGTCAACACTTTACATTATGATAGTCTATAATAAACTGCAAATACTTCATTATCAGTCATAGTTATTCCAGAATACGACTTCGAAGTCGGTCTTTTCTGGAACCTATGAGAAAGCATACACATATTCTAGAATCACACAATTCCGGAACTTCATTGTATGAGAGAAATGTACATGAATGCAGCCATTCATTTGACTACTGCAGTGCAGACATCAATACCAATGCTTTACAGGGTTGTCACATGTGGATGGATTTCCTTAATTCTAGAGAACTGGAACACTTTTTTCAGAACTAAAAAGAACTTTGATTGAAATGGGATCGATTTGAAATTTCAAGTGCTAAAATCTGTTTTAGAATTGTTCTACTTAATTCAAATGATGAACACTAATATAAAGCGTGTCCTGAATATCCTGAAATCCTGAATTGGCTAAAACTGTTGGGATGCGTTCTTGCAACATCATAAAGCCTTGTCATCGCAAAATTAATGAACCCAAATTTCCTTGATCTAGGGAATAATGCGATCATGTCACCTTCCAGCAACGTTGAAAGCGGAATATTTTATAACCTAACATATGTCAACTGTGTTAACTGTTGAAGTTTAAAGAAATGTAACGAACTTTTATAGTTTGAGTGTTGTTTTTAAGCTGTTTGATACTATTTATTACAATTTATCATCGCTTATTAAAATGGCAGCGGCAGTGAAAAATAAATCTGCTATCAATGTTAAAGGATCCGCAAATATTGTGTGTGATTATCTAAGTAAGACACCGCATCAACGGTTTTGATGATTTCTGTCTACAACATGAGACATATTTGCAGATTATGGCATTAATTCAATACTATTTCAAAGAGGCCTCTATCCGCCAGAGAACTTTTCGACCACCGAAAATTATGGCTTAAGCATTTTGATGTCAACAGATAATAAGATAAAGGAATTCTTATCTACTACCCTGGGACAACTGAAAGGTATGTCCATGTCCAAACATTCTTAATACTTTTCCTGTTTTTTACCAGCAACTTTCCGGTACTTGATTGAAGTCCGAAAAACATTACATTTTACTTACCTTTCACAAACTTATATGCTCAAATATCAACATACAACAGTGAAAGGTTGACCGACCAACTTTTGTACATGTGCTCCCACATCATGGGGCTGCTAAGAATGTTCGTTAATTTTAGTTTTTAACACAGCTTTTACCATTGTGATTAATAACTGAGTTTTATCATCGATACTATTTAATGTGGTGACTAATTGAATTGAACACTAAAGCTCTGAGGATCCCGGTTCCGAATTGCATGTTTATCAACGATTTTTTATTATTTTAGAGTTCAGAATCATCGCCCAATATGTTGCCGTTAATTTGGAAAGTCCTGTATACATATACTTCTAAATCAATCAGCAATATCAAAAATTCTTCATTTATCCTTTGTTGGAACATTAGAATCCTAATCCTTGCCTATTGCGTGGCTTAGATTTCTCACTTATTTTCAGAATGGCTGGTTAAAAGAATGGTCAACAAAGTAGCGCTGGTGATAGCCAATGTAAAAACTCTCGAAGTAATGGAGCGATGGGACTTTAACATTGAATATGAAGGTAACGCAGAAGATGGTGAAACTCGAACGTCTGAGAAGCCTTTAAAGCAAATAAAGAATGAGATTAGAGATGTTTTAAAACAGATTGCTTCATCGGTGGCTTATTTGCCCTTGTTGGAGTGCCTTTGCAGTTTTGATCTGCAAATTTATACAACGAATGATGTAGATTTACCGGAGGAGTGGGCGGTTGCCGAACCAGCTAATGTTAGGAATGCACAGTCGGTCAAAATGCGATCATTCTCCACTAATATCCATAAAATGGAGACTGTAGTTACGTATAAAAATGATGATTGAGTCATATCTTGTTTCACCATTTTTCATGCTGCTGAATTCCGTTGGAATGTTCACTCAATGCAAACTGCTATGTTTTTGCACACATGCATTAAGTATTTAATTATTTGTAAACTGAAATCGTGATAGTCCGATCTGATGATTCTTGACCATATGAAAATCTGGGGGAATGAGAGAAGGGTAAAATGACGCAATTGTTATGTCTATCTGTATTGTCTGTTTATTTCAGCTTACACATATCTAATACTTTCAAATCTGTTCCTGACGGTTTGTGTTTCTTAAAGGCATCTTCCGAATTCATATAGCTTTTATAATACTGGCTGTTACAAGAAACTCCTAATTTAAGTCTCACTAGCTTTGGTCTAAATGCAATTCTCTAAGAGAAAGGAAATAGAAGCCTAACGACAACTGTATTATCAGTTTTCATTGCCTTCGTGAGGTTTAGAGCTGCTGTAACATGTTTTACTAATTTTATTGAAACCTTTTTCGGAAACCGGCACTGTATTATTTTTTTAGACACATATCATTAATACTGCATATTTTGCTACATTAAATCAAACCTTGGATTTTAAAGACACTTTGTATGTTGGTTTAGTTAGTTTACTTTTAGTTAATAAATTATAGTATTTTTAAGTGTTTCCATTGCTTATTATTGCCTTGAATCCAAAATTCGTTCAATTTCCAGATTACAGCATTGCTTAGTAAATAGCAATTTTCAATTCACAAATAAAAATGTTAGCAATAAAAAACTTAACTGTAGTTACGACAAATGGCCTGGAGATTCATTTATATTGAACCATTAAACAAAAAAAATTTCCTTGAAATGTATTGGTTGAAATTAGTCCGTAATAAAGGCCATTTGTCTCTATCACATCATGCGAGTATATTAAAATAAATTACATTCTATAAATTTATCAAATGTTTGCTCCGCAAATTCTACAATAAAAAAGGTTGGGCGCTTTCACATTCATATATGTTTTAATAAAATATCTAGAATATTTTAGTTGGTAGGAAAGCAGTTTTACCCTGAGTCAATCGATTAAACTAACAGTTATTTATTATTCGATTAAACTTATTTAATACTTTTGTTCAGCTACTAGCAACAATTTTCTTAAAAGGCTTTAACCCTAATCAGAATAGCGAAAGCACATAATTAGGAAGAGTGTAAACGTCTTCAAGGCAATTAATTCGATCTAAGCTAAACATGTGTTCAATAGTTGCTAAATTTCAGGGTAAATGCGCTAGTTTACTATCTAAAATTAAATAGTTAAATAAATATCTTAATGAGTATTTACATCCATTACAGTTGTGCTAATGCTTTTCTTTGGTGTAGTTACTGCGCGATTTGAGAGGCTTGCTGTCGTTTATCGCAGATTTCAGTCCTTCACGGTTACTCCTACCATCCATCAATTCCTTTTCCGTAAATAATTTCCTAAAAAACAAATTTTAATAATTGTTAGTATCTAGAGTGTTTCACTATTTGTAGACGACCATTTAATGTTATTACGATTTTGCAAAATTTTTCAGTTTTAAAGAAGCATGTAAAATTATATTTTTCGATGGTTTTACACAATCATTTATATCAGTTCCAAAAAGGGAGCCAAATGCCCGGAAGCACATGCTTTTTTCACGAAAATGTCTGTGTCGATCGAATTAAACACGGTTCGCCAAATAATCATGAAACAAGTTAAAAATGGGTTTTTTAGTGAAACACAAGTATTATTCATGTAGAACACATAATACATACTTACTCTGTATTGCTGGTCTAACGTTCTGAATCAGAGTCTTTCAAATGTCTTTCTGAAAATAACAGAAATATAGAAATTATTGCCTTTGAATTGTCTAAAGAGAGGTAAAAGCTTAACTACTACAAAGGTGTTGGAAAGAAACGGTGCAGTCGCAGTTATAAAAGTGTTGAGAATTTTCTAATCAGCGATCTCTAATTGAGTTAAACAGAAATTTTTGTTTATAGAAAAAACATTTTTATCAAAATTTTTATAACAAAGTAATGGAGAAAGTTATTGTCAAGGTGCGAAAAAAAATCGGTTAGGGAACAAATTATCGCAACATTATATCGAGCAAAAATAAATTTCGCTTCACTACAAAAAGGAATAAACCTGTATAATAATTAATATTTGATATAATTTTCCCATCATAATCAGTTCGCAAGGACATTAAAACTGCTGGAATCCGTAAGACTTGATATTGATTGTATCAGGACAAATCGTCTAGTGTATTAAATACAGATTATTGTTAAGATATTAAACAATTATTAGCTCAACCCCACATACTTTGCTACCTGTTATCTTAGATGATTGTCGCAGAAATTGACAAAATCTACTTTCTACTGATCTACAATACATGCGGATAGTGTTAAATACAATACATCTGACTCACAACAAATCTAAAAACAACGCCTAGTTATAGAGATTAGTAAAGTTATGTATTTTTTTTTGTTAATGCCAATCTATGTGAAAATCATAGAAAGCTTTGGTTACATACCTATAATCATATTTTTTCCATTGGAAAGTTGGACTTTTGGTTCGGAACTACTAAATAACACAATCGATGCAGATTTGTAAGTCACAATGCTTTTATTAATAAGTTTTACAGCTATTTCTAGACTTTTGTTATAATTAAATCGGGATTTCAGAGTTTGTTGTGAGTATAGATGTAATAAATAAATATATCTACATGTTTTTTTATACAAAAAGTAATAAAATACCGGTCCCTGATATTTTTAGGCGCACGAGACGAAAGATTTGCGACTGGCTGCAGTTCGAAATATCTCAGCCCGATAGGAATTTATAAAGAAAATGTATACTATATTTTTGCGACTGGAACAAACAAGCCGACAAAAACATTGAAAAGTCTGGATACTAAGAGTTTACTTATCGTCGATCAAATCTGAACTTTTTGGGACGTTTCAAGCCAGTCACTCTTAACCTACAGATACGAAGCCTTTCACCCGTCCGCTGAATGAAATAGTTTTCCTCGCTTATACAGGACTTGTAAAAAAATATAAATAGTATATACATGGTATATAGAAGAAAATGTATGGCGAGGACGGTGGATGACGCGAGTAATATGCCAATGTTTCGGAATGCTTTTGCGTGCCACAACGATATAAAGCGCGATAAGTTAAAATTAAAGCAATTAAAAAATTAAAAAATGATAATTTAAAAGTGCTAGTTAATGGTAGTATGAGAAAAGTGTATCGGGTGAAAAGCCGGCCCTGACCAATCGACTGCTTTGCATACAAAATATAAATTTTAACAGTCTTATTCAATTAGGATCATTTACAAATATACAGTTTCCATTCGGAGACAGGAAACACTATTTACAACGGTAACAAGAGTAATTTACATGTTCAATCTAGATCTCCTCATCAATAGCAATAATATTTCGTCGATAGTCCTAATTTACATGCGAATGATGGTGTTTGTGGATACCTACTCGCAGAATGTTGGGCATCCTTTTCGGCGCATCGTTGGCCGATGTATCCGTTCATACATCTGAAAACGAAAAAACCGAGCTTGAGCGTCTGTTTAGCTTCTATTGAGCATGTGTTTAGCAACTTACTCGCAAAAAAATTCATTGTTATAGTCCATATAGCATGTTCCATGCATGCAAAACTCTTCTTCGTATGTTCCGTTACATTTTTTATCTGAAAAAAAACATTCAAATATTTCTTTATAAAATAACAAGCTTATCACACAGTTAAGGATAACACACTAAATCTTAAAAAGCAAGTTGTAGGTATTCAAAAGTCATTCTTAACTACTAATAAGTAGGTATATTAGTAGTCGTTGGTCCCGAATTCACCGAAAAACTTATCAGTTTCTGCATTTGTTCTGCATACGAAACTTTCAAGTTTTAGCAATTCTAGCGAAATTTAGGGATTTTAGAGTTAAGTAGTGACAATGCGTCAACTATTATGTCATTTAGTCGGATTAGTCTATTGCTAAGTGGTGGTTAGGAAACACTGTGTACGCTTCGCTCCGACCAAATTTCGACAAATTTCTGGAATTTTTCCATTTTTATACGCCAAACTTCCGATTTAGTGATAGTAGATTTTTTTCTACCGTTTTGTGATTTTCTCCTGACTGGTGGTGCGGTTTTAGCCAGAAAAACGCTAATTTTCAGATTGAAAAATTTCTGACGTTTGCTGTCATCATGATGTGCGCAAATTATTTGTAACATTAAAAGTGGATTTGGGGTAACTGGAGGCGCCTTTCGGGTTTAAACACCCTTTGCAACCAACCATTGGGATGATGAACTACTGGAAGGCGGAATCTATCAGAAGAACACTGGTAAGCGCGATTGTTCTTAACTTTCACTGTCAAAAGTGCTTCAAAATGAGATCTTTCTTTGGCCTGCTCTAAGAGAATTTACGGTACGTGGCCTCTAATAAAGCATCGTAATCTTAGTTGTTTATATAATATACAGAGCGTCCAAAAATTTCCTCTACAAATCCCTCACATAGGAACATCTACTGCTATAAATTACTCAAAGAATGGAAACATGAAAACTGTTAGATGCTGATTCAGAAACGTTTTTCTCACTTATCAACAGACACTATTAGCTTTCGTGTAAGTTTTATCAAAAATATTGCACGGGTTTCTTGTCCATCAGTCTGAAGCAATTGAAAATCGCTAATTTGCGTTTGTTATTGCCAAAAATCAAAAAACAAGGCGAAAAAGAAGGGCGTGAACATTGTTATTTGGTTTTGATCACATGTAATGTCGCACAAACCGTCTAATGTGTATAAAGTAAACGTGTGTATCGCTATGAAATTGGACGCAAATGAAATTGTTGGTCCTCCCTTTACCCTTATGGGTCAATTGCATTTTTTTATTATTCTTTGGTCGTGTTAGTATTCCTTGTTAAATTATTCCAGTAAATAAGTGATTATTACCGTGCCGTTCATAACTCGACTGGGTAAGACACACCTTTCATTGAAAGTGGTGAAACCAACAGCAACTCTTAGCCTACAATTAGGATCATTAGACGTACTATTTCAGGAAGTAGTGTTGTTATAAAGGAAAAATTAACTAGTTCAACCACACAAACGACAGACATGGGATTTCATTTTCAAATGTTCTTGCAACAACTTTGCATATAAATACATCCGCAGCAATGTACGTGAAAAAAATTGCTGTGGTGTTGCGGCGGTTTCCAAGAACATTCGAAAATAATGTCCCGGAAAAGAAAGAAAAAATCTCACTAGTTAAAATTGGCTCACTGAAAGGAATCTGCTGTTGCTTGACCTCGATCCTTTCGACGACTTCTTTTCCATCGACACCTCGAGCGACACATTCGTACCAGCCAATATGGTCCTGCGAATGGTTCTTAATCGTCAGGATACTCCGTTTCCTGCAAAACCAAGCCTTCTCTGTAATTATAAACTATACACAGCAGCTGCTGGTTTCTGTGAGAATCATTTAAAATTCAATTGATTATTGTTTGGTTCAGTCGTCGATTCAAGCGTTTTCTAAACACCTTGTTTATGCTAAAAATTTTGTTATGCTTGAATTGATTGTGACAGAAATTTGGGATAAGGTTCGGAAGTGAATTGAGAAAAATTTGCTTCTAAATCGTTGGAAATCCAAACGTCTTACCCTTCATTCAGATCGTCATTCCTATGCAAAGCATGACAGAAGATTAAATATTAAACGATATAAAATCTGGGGACATTCTTTAAGTTTTAATAGCCGATTACTTACTTTACATATTTGATAGTTACATCAGGCATGTTGACTATGGGAACGTTGTCTCGCCTCCAGGATATCTGAGGAACGGGCAGTCCATTCGAGTTACAGATCAGCTTCACTTTTCGTACCCCTGTTACCTTCCCGAATTTGATATGGATTTTCGGCGGCTTTATTTCTGAAACCGACAATACATGTATTGAAAACATTTTCCGTAAAACGTATCATGTGAATGGTATAAGCAAAATTTGCATTCGCTTTTGGTGTTTTTTTCATCAGTTTTTTTTCTTGTAATCACTGTGTTATTCCCAACTTTTGCATTTTTCCAAATGCCATTCTGTAGGAAATGGATCAGAAGCGATTAATTTCTGCCAAAATACAGGGTGATTCAAAATTGGCGTCGGTCCTTTTAAGGGGTAATAGGGGCTCACTTGGAAGGTACAACAAAAATAGTGAAAACATTTTTTTCGATCACTTCTGGAAGATATTAACAGTTGGAAATCAAATTTCAACCTTCAAAGGAGCAGCCTTCAAAAAGAAAAATTACGATCTTTGCATCAAGTCACGAAAATTTTTGATATTCAAAAAGTTCTCGTCTACAATTTTTAGGAACAAGTATTGGACATTATTGAAGCAGAGCCTTCCAGGGGCACTCAGAACATTGCACAACCACTGACACTTTCCCATGTGCCAAATAAATACCGGCTACATTCCTACCACGTATGTAAGATCACATTAAACCAATGGGTTACTGAACACCGGTATAAATTGAGCAGGAGCTAATTAACCGCATACGAGAAGCTGCTCGAGAAGAGTGCAAAATAAGGTGATTACACAGACACTTGTTTGGAAGTACACTTAAATGTACGTTTTTGTACTTTGTAAGCAAATGAATAAGTCGAGGTTATGAGTTTTGAAATAGGTTCCGTCATTCAACGATTCCTGTGGAATTTACCGTTTATCCTTGTCTATCTTGTCGCTTTCTCTATTTATCCATGGTTGCCGGAGTTTTAAATAATTGCGAAGCAACAGGTATTTACGTAGTTAATTAGGCAGAATCTTGAAAAACATTGTTGCCGTTTCTCTAATATATTTTTTTGCAAATTTGAGAACACGTCCAGAGGAATGACGCCAAGTAGAAACATTGTCGAACATTAGTTTGGACGATTTAGAAAAAAACCAAGTTGTAAATCAATAATGCTACATTTTGCGTGCGAAGAATTTGCAAATTAGCTTGACGAAACATAGGCAGTATATAAATATCGATTGTAGCAAAATAGGAAAAATTATAAGATATCGTCGGTCGAAATTGTGATTTTAATTGGGCGCAATTTGCATATTGACACGCCAATGGAGAATCTTAAAAAAACGCCTCGTCTTTCAAAGTGAGTTGCAGCCGTCGCTAATGATTTTGCTTTCTACGGTCCGCTCTTAATTTTAGATAATCAATTTCCACTCCACTTAGTCTCTTGTAAGTAAGCCAAAAAAAATCATCCCGATGACACTAACGTAAGGTTTAGAGTAATTTTATATTACTCATTTGAACGTTCATTTCCGGTTGGCAAATATCCTTTTCCAAAAATACGACGATTTAATAAGATGCTTTAGTTTTTTGGTTGGCTCAAAAATCCCCGATCATTTATCTTGTGTTGCCATGTCCTTAACCTCGGCGGGCGCATTGGTAAACTATTTACTAGGTGGAAAACTGTCCAAAATTTTAATTACTTTGTACTTGCTGTGTGAAATATTGAATTGGACTCTATCCAGAATTTGGCCCAAATCCGGACCTTAATATAACTGGAAACGATGAATGAATGAATGAATGATTTACGGTTAAGTAGTTTGTAACCGAGTCTACATTTTTGCGTTGCATAATTTGCTAAGTGATTTTTTCCAGCGGTTTCGTTCATTTGCCTCTGACGCAGGAGTTTCCCTACTGATTCATTGAAACAATATATATCTTGCAAGTTCTGACTGAGGAACAAGATTATTCCTTAAGCAGGTTGTTTGGAATTGGTGCTTTCATTTTTTTGGATCGATCTCACGCAAACGAATTTCAAAATATTTGTTCTGGACTAAAAAGGGAATAATTTCATGAAATCACATTTAATTCTTTGAGTCGGACTGTTTTTCGCACTAAATACATTTAATTTAGTGGTAACTAAGAAATGGCTTCGAATTTGCTGGGCAAATATTTCCAAAATCTCAACATTTTAATTTCCAAGGAATTCCCTAGCGCATTAAGAGAAGTTTTGATATTTTTATAAGAGGCGGTTCTATCTGAGCTTTAAGATGCTCCAAATCTCCATCTATCCAAAGTAGATGACCAAAGGATCCTTGGTAGATAGTCGATAAAGATTTGTGTTTGATAGTGTGTAGTTTTCCTTAGAATACATGTGAAAAATGGAAGTTTCCAGCTGATTTGCATATTTCCAGAAAGCATTTTGGTTTCATAACAGTGCCAGTAACTAGTAAGTAACTAGTTTTGGCAAACATTTTTTGTTCTGATCGAATGATTAGAACTGTAACAAAAACATGACTATCTGTAATGAAAAAAAAAGCTGATGAACTAATTTACTTTTCGAACAAATGCGTACTGACACGTTAACATAGACAACATATTTTCGAAATAGCAGCTTTACAGCAGACAAGAAAATACATACGGCCTATCACATACGTGGCTCTGGTAGAAACGAGGTGTTTTGAATAATTTGAAACATAATAAAACACTTACTCTCACAGTTATTTATAAACGGGCGTCCTTTTTTTCCTACCTGCTCCACCACTGTGTTTTTGGCATTGGGCCAGGCGGCGCGACGCCTCATTGTGCAACGTTGTCAGTGATTTTCAAAGAAAAATTGAAATTTGCTTTTAAAATAAACGATTTTGCTACGTTTTACAACAAAAAAAACAATTTACTTGATATTTCCTCGGTGGAAGGAAATTAAATTTTTTGTCAAATTTGTTTTAGTGTTCCGATTCATATTGAAAAATTTCCAATTCAGATGCATAACAGTAATATAAATCAACTAAAAACAAACAAACTACGTGATGCTCAGCAAATCCTCAAAACACGTTTCTATATAGTTTTGAGTTTATTTTCTAAAATTGTGTTTCTGTTAAAAATACATCTAAGATCCGAAGATAATTCCTTGATTCTACTAGTCGATTGCAAATAGTATTTGGCATCATTGAGATTGTGAATAATCTGGCTATGATCCATTCTTTGCTAGACGCCGCGCAATCGCTTGGCTGTTAAAAAACACTTTCCTGTGGAAAAACTGACTCCTACTACTATACTATAAAAGCCCAAGCGTGTCGGTTTCCAAAGCACGAGACTGAACCTACGCTGAAGCTTTTCCCAAATCGAATGAATAATGTGTATTTTTCGGTAGCGGTAGCTGGCACGTTTTGTGAGATGATTTATTAGCCATTTACTCACAACACAATTATCCAATGAATTATTGAGCATCGAGAAATACGGAAAAAGGTCGGAAGAAAAGATGAATCGAGGAACTTTGTGCACATAGATAAGCTGCTGCAAATGAGCTTTGAACTTTTAGGGTTTATACATACAAAAAATAATTTCTCTCTATACTTATGTAGTTTAAAAATGAATTAATTTAGTCAGTATTGCACCAGAAAATTACTAGTTTCCAACTCTATGTGTTTTATGTTTCCCTCCAGGCCATTAAAACAATTCGCAACTTTAATACCGAAAATACCTTGTATTTTTAAATTCTGGATTATTTGGCTTACATTTAGCTAATTGGACAATTTAACTAACAGGATTTAAATTAAGTTCTCCTAACGTGTCATCAAACGTGTAAGCATAGATGTTTACGTAAAATAATTTAATGAGAAAAAATCTAATAGCAATCTTTTAAATATGTGGTGGGTAGACAGCATTTTGCGCGAAATGTACTGGATCAGCCTTCAAGCAAACGCACATGTTCAAACAGTGCGTGGACAGCGCTAATTATTTAATATCAGCCAAGAAATGTAAAAATAATTACCAGTTTGTTTGTTGGAAGTTTCCTGATGTAAGTAAACAAAATACATTAAAAAACCAGCGCGGTTGGTGACAAAAGAAACCGACTTTGCAGTCAAACAATTTTCGTCTTCAAATTCCAAACACCAACGAATGCATCAATATAATAACTCGGTGCTCGCTCAACGGTATCCAGTTTCACAAAATAGTTATTGCTTATTTAAATTTAGAAACTTATTTGACTGTTTAGAAAGCAGTGATAGTTTGAATCTATGCCGGTAGGTCGAAGTACGCAAGCGATTTTCCATATTAAAATTGATCAAATGTCGATTTTTATTAAATAGGATTTTATCAAATTTTATTATTGTACTTTAGATTTAAGGGTTTGGAAGTTCATCTCTTCTAAAATTCTATGAATGCTAATACTCTACTTCTACTTATTGAACTGTTTAACTATTTTGAATTAATGCTCAATAACAACGTGCAAACTGGATCTTCATCATAAACGAAATATCTTTTATAGATAACAGAATATTGTTCCATTATGGTTTCACTGTGCGAAATAGTGCGATTAGTTCAATTTTGTTCTTAATGTGATTTGAGTCATTTGGACATTTGTTCCGCCTATGATCCCTGAAAAAGATCTTGATGACGATCATGATTAATGTATGATATTCCACTCGTCAATTCGTAAAATAGACGCAAGGCCAGACGATATACAGTTAGTTGCATGGCATTTCAGCAATTTCGGCATTTGCATAATCGAAATCAATCAATTATTTATTTATTACGAGAAAAAGTCGATCGGCTCCCTTGATGCAGTTTCCGAAAAAAACTGTTTTATTGTAATAGGTCTTTTAGGATTATATGGCCACTAAATATGTCATTCGACCTTTTGTTTAGACTTATTTAGTATCGGAATTCGGGTGGTTCTTTTAAGCCGAATTCTTCAGACGGGAGCTAATCAAAACTGGGACTAATGTAGGAATTTCGCGTTTTACATCACAGAGGCCCTAACAAGCTGGTTACGTTTCATCAACGATATTTTTAAAATGTTTCACAACATTTTAACTTGATTAATCGGTGTCACCTACTCTACTCGTCCTGATGATGCCTCATTCACGGATCTCACTTACTCATCTTATTGACAAATATACACCTGAAAAATCCTTGTGAGCCTATTTTTA